GCAAGCATGCATTCATCTATTGTTTGCGTTGTTTACGCGGAAATGCCTAATCGAATTATGGGAGTGTATTGTTTGCGTTGTTTACGCGAAATTTCTTCCTATGTCTGCACGTACATATAATTTCCATTCTTTTATTGAGTAAACAGTTTTGGTTTCCTTTCAAAATACAAAATTTTTCCTCTAAACATAAATTACGTCGTTTTGATCCTCCCGTATACGAAATAACGCGTTTCAAAATTAATCGTTAATTTCCTATAATAAGGTATGAAGTGTTTTTTATTCATATGAGAATACCTTTGACACTATCCCCTGCAGGACAACCGTTTTCGTCTTGAGAGAAAGAGTCGTCATCTGCATCCACAACTTCCTTAATTTCTGCAAAATTCTGTTGGCTGTGTTGTGCTGAAAAATTGTCAATATATAAATAGACGTGATCAAAGACTTGCATACCGGAACTGGTCGTTTAAACACATAGTTAACATTCAAGTATATATAGTTAAATCCTTAACTTTAGTTAACTACATGTGTTAACTGCGTCGCACAGAACGTAGTTAATAGCCTTATAGTTAACTTATTACGCATGGGGCTTGCGTAAACTTAAACACAAAACAATATCAGTATATCAAGTAAAGAATTATTAAATAAGAAACGCTGAAAGGCATTTTCAACATGCCTGTGGACTCGCATTTTCCAAATAGCCGCAAATTTGACTACAAATACTAAAAAATTATGAAGAAATCAAAGAATAATTTAACGAATGCATTTTTCCGGTGTGATGTCCAACAGCGCGAATTGCATTTTTACCCCAGTGTTGAATAGTTCAGTATTGAATATGTTTGGGAATTGGTGCCGATAGTTCAGTATTGAATATGTTCGGGAATTGTTCGGGAATTCAGTAGGCTATTATATGTTCGAGAATTGGTGCCTTATAAGAAGAATTAAACCCTTTGTTCCTTTGCGTTCCTTTAAAGATGTTATATTCTGATTCAGTCATATTTTGATTATTGCTCCCCTTTGTGGGATACATACGGGAAGGTCCATAAAAATAAATTACAGGTGCTCCAAAATAGAGCGGCACGAGTTATAACAGGAGCAAGATTTCATGTTAACACGGCAAATGTACTGTAGGATCTGCAATGGTCCACGCTCGATGTAAGACGTCATAGTCTGTAGAGCGTTTTGATGTACAAAATTCTTAATGAGCATGCAGTCCGCACCAAGTCTTAGAGAAAAAATTATAGAAAATAAAGATCTTAATAGAGAATATAATTTTTGAAGTAATGATTCTGATCTAGCACTTCCAAAACCTAAAACAAACTATCTTAAAGGAAGTTTTAAGTATAGTGGTGCAATGCTGTGGAATAGTTTTCCTTCTGAGGCGAAAAAGGCATGAGGATGCTTTACCAATTTAAACGCAGTATACCCACTATACCATGCAGAGACCCAGAGACTAGGATGCGAGCTAAGATAGTTTGTATAAAACGTAAAGTGAAACACGCCCCATCTGAAAATCAACTCATTGTATTTTAAAAATATGTTGTTTATGGCCAGCGTAGTTAAATATTTTTTTTAAGTAAGTGGGTAAGTAATAATAATAATAATAATAATTTAATAATTTATAAAGCGCTTTTTACATGTAATGATCAAAAGCGCTGCATTACAATATAACTAATGTTAAAAGCGTATTAAAATGTTGAAATGTTAACTTTAATATAAACTAAATACTAAAAGCTAGTTTAAAAAGATGAGTCTTAAGACAAGTTTTAAAAACGCTTATTGACGAAATGTCACGAATTTCTTTCGGAAGTTGATTCCAAAGTTTCGGAGCTGCCACAGTGAAAGATCGGTCGCCAAATGACAGTAAAAATTTACCCTTAGGGAACTCTAGCATTATGCTATCATTAGAACGTAAAAGGTAGTTTCCTTCCACTTTAACAACGAGTAGATCTACTATGTACTTTGGAGCCATTCCATGTAAAGCTTTAAAAGTAAGCAATAGCAGTTTAAAATGGATCCTGAACTTCACAGGTAACCAGTGTAGTTCACGTAATATAGGTGTAATGTGATCGTATTTTCGTGTTGAAGTCACTAATCTTGCAGCGGCGTTTTGAACCCTCTGCAACTTAATCAGTTCAGTATTTGGTAAACCATACAAGAGACCATTACAATAATCTAGTCGACTTGTAACAAAGGCGTGTATAACAGTCAACAGATTTTCCCGAGATAAAAACTTGCTGATGCGTTTGATGTTGTGAAGCCAATAGAATGCGGCACCACATGTCTTTGTTATATGACATGACATTTTTAAATTTGAATCAAGCCAAACTCCTAGATCACGAGCTATTGGTACAGGAAGGACATCAGCATTCCCGACACGTACATGGCATGGGTTAAGTTTGTGCAGTTGCTGCTTAGATCCAATTATTAACAGTTCAGTTTTACCGTCATTTAGTTTCAATTTATCTTGAATCATCCATTTCCGAAGATCGTTGACACAGCTTTCCATTACCGAGATCGCTTCACATTGATCGCATGGGTAGTCAGGTTTGAATGACACATACAACTGAGTGTCATCAGCAAAACCATGTAAATCTGGCGAGTGATTGTTAATAATATCGAACAGTTTGGAGGCATATAATATAAAAAGAAGAGGCCCCAAACACGAACCCTGCGGGACACCAAAGTTCAAATCAGATGAATCAGAAAAGGTACCATTTAGCATAACACGTTGACTTCGACTAGACAAATAGGAAGAAAACCAACTGAGAACTGTTCCACGTATTCCAAATTTTGACCTTAACCGTTCCAGCAAAATTCCATGATCAATTGTGTCAAAAGCGGAACTTAGGCCCAGAAGAACGAAGAGAGTGACACGTTGACTGTTCATGCTCAACAAAATGTCATTGAGTACTTTGAGTAACGCAGTCTCTGTGGAGTGATACCGCCGGTAAGCAGATTGCAAAACTGGATAAAAGCCACATCGAAGGATATGATCGTGCGTTTGATTATATACTGCTCGTTCAATAAGCTTTGAAATATATGCTAAATTACTGATGGGACGAAGATTTTCAAAAGCGGACTCCAGCCCAGACTTTTTTAATATGGGAAGAATAATAGCAAGAGAGCTGTTTCATTACGTCCGGGGAAACTTATTGCATTTTTTTTCAGCCAGCATTCCTTTGATAGCTTTGAATAGAGTCCCTTGGTTATTGCTGTTTTCTTTGATAAAATCAGAGAAAAAGGAGCATTTTGCTTTCCTCATTAATTGAGTACAATGGTTTTTCAATGATTTAAATTTATTAAAATCTGCCGTCGTTTTTGTAGTCCGCCATTTCCGCTCCGCTTTCCTTCTTTCCTTCTTTGCAAGTTTGATTTCCTCGTCATACCATGGCACCATAGCCCTAGAGGTAACAATTCTCCTCTTCAGCGGAGCGTGGCGATCCAGAACAGAAGATAATGTATTATTATAGCAGCTTACCAAGGAATCAATTTGTGTAGGAGCATCCAGGCATAGTTTTGATTCACCCAGGTCTTTCATAAAACCTGGGTGAATCAAGTAATACTGTAACGTGTAATACTGTAACGTGTGAATATTAGAAACGCCGCGCGTGCTAAAATCGTGTATTGACAAATACAACAAATAGCGGTAAAATACCTTGTTTGTCACATTTCTGATACAAATCAGACAAAAAGAGCAAGGATTATGAAAGGATGGTTTAAATATATGACGGATTGTAAAAACTTTCCAGATCATCTAATCTATTCGTCCGGAAAAATGGCCACCAGCAGTTTGAACCTGCGAATTCCTGGCGTGAAACTAATCCTTTAAATCAGACAAATCAATTTTTCATTATTAAATGTATTTTTGACATTGAAGTTACTTTCATAAAAACTTTATACATGTTGGTGATTGATGTTTAAGAGGACATTTTTCGCATGCAGCATATTTATTTTATTTATTTATATTCGCAATATTTTTTTAGTGTATATAGTGCATTCAATGTTGGATTGCATCGTACACTACACTACACTGCACTCTCATTACTTAATTTAGCGCACAATTGCTGCTGAATTCAGCGCAATGCAATCTGCTTTACATGCCGTGGTTTCCTTCTCTGTCTGCTGGCATTTCATAATCAAAGTGCGGCGGCTAAATAAACTCAAAAAGAATGTTTTACTATGTAGTGGTACAACGATGTTCATTCTTTGTTTTTTCACAGTTAATAGTTTAAACATTAAAATGCCTTCCATATAATATTTTTTACTATCATTGAATTGCGCCCCACTTCCCTGTAAATTATTATTATGTATATCTTCTGTGGTGCAAAATGCTCTAATTCGCATAAATTATGCACGGTTCCAGGTTTCGGTTCCAGGTTCCGGTTCCTGTATCGCTGTATCGCTTTTCAGTAGTAGCCGCTGTCCAGAAAGTGTTCTTTAGAAACACTTACCTTCAGGCTCCTATAATAGCGTTTCGTATTATACTGTATAATCAAGTTCTTGACATATACTATGCATTTCTGTAATGCCGCGAGGCACTCTTGCATGACATCTGCATGGTGTTATCATTTGGAATAATTTTTCTGTCTGAACAAGTTAGTGAACTACACAAATGTAGATCGATTTTGAAAAATCAGGAATAATGATAATTCATATTCCTTATTCCCCATTTCTTCACCCAATTATTTATAGACTTATAGTACTTGTATCTTAGCATCTTCAAAGCCTTAAATTTCACTCGTCCTTCAGACTTTGTGCTATTTTGATGCTCTTCGAAAAACTAACTACAATCCTGGAAAAAACTGATGAAACATGCAGTATAACAATGTATTATACAGTGTAAACAATGACCGTGACGGGGATCTACTACCCCTAGCCTTGGACATTAAAGTAAACAATGACCATCACGGGGATCTACTACCCCTTGGATATTAAAGTAAACAATGACCATCACGGGGATCTACTGCCCCTTGGACATTTAGGATGCCCATCTCGGGGATCTACTACCCCTTGGGTGAAGTCCAACATGGGGGAACCACGACCCCAGAGGACATATAATTATATCATAATCATATTGCTGTAAAAGTGAGTCTGTGGGGCGACACTTTGGCCACAGTTTAAGGTATAATCGAAGTATTTCTCCTCGACAACCCTTCTCCCACATCTTAATTGTCTTAGAACATTTGCTTAACGAATTGGTGCATTAATAGAAAACTTGATTGATAAACCGGCATTGTGCGTTATGCAATACGCACAATGCCATAGTTATTCCGAATTAGTGTGTGACTGTTTACTGCGCAAAAAGTTAAGCAAAGAAAACAAAGCTCATCATCACAAGGGATCTGACGGGTTTCCTTTAATTTAAAGAAAGCGGTAAATATTATAATTTACTATAGGCTATATAGGGCGCTGTTCTTATGGAGCCGTTTTGCCGGAAATATTCGTTTAATATAACTCTTACAGTCTTATTACGGCTTTGATACGAAATGATGCTTGAAATTTGAATTAGCTTAGTTTGACTCCAGTACGGTCAGGAATAAACTTTCGTGACACAATTCATCCTTGCTAGTCGGACACGCCACGAACAGCTCCCAAGCCATAATCAGGCCGCGACTAGTGTTGCAAAGTTTAAAAGAAATTAACAGTATCAGTATCCGCTTCACTAAACAATAAACACAACAGGTTGAATAACGGCTACTACTAAAAAACGATACAGCGATACAACGATACAACGATACAGGAACCGGAACCTGGAAACGGAACCTGGAACCATGCATAAATTATGCAAATTAAAGCATTTTGCACCACAGGAGATATACATGATAATAATTTACAGGGGGGGGGGGACGCAATTCAAAGATAGTATAAAATATTATATGCAAAGCATTTATTTTGATTTTTTCAGTGAACAAAACAAAGAATGAACATCGTTGTAGTACTATATTACGAAGTAAAACATGCTTCATAATTGCGCGGCGATTCTTTCTGTCTGTTTTGATATGACTGCATGTGACGCACTTAGTTTTTTTAGCCGCCAGGCCGGCGGCCGCACTTGATTATGAAACGCCAGCAGACAGAGAAGGAAGACAAAGCAGATTGCATTTGCGCTGAATTCAGCAGCAATTGTGCGCTAAAGTAACTAGAGAGTATAATGCAATCCAACATTGAATGTGCTATATACGCTGCGAATATGCGAATATTGCGAATATGCTGGGCCTTGCTGGCATACTGCATGCTAAAAATGTCCGCTTGAACATCAATCACAGACATGAATGAAGTTATGAAGGTAACTTCAATGTTAAAAATACATAATAATGAATAATATTCGTTTGTTCGCAGCGTATATAGTGCATTCAATGTTGGATTGCATCATACACTGACTACACTCTTATTACTTTAGCGCACCGGCAATAAATTGCTGCTGAATTGCTGGCATTTCATGATCAAGTGCAGCGGCTAAATAAACTAAGTGTGTCACATGCAGTCATATCAAAACAGACAAAAAGCATGTTTTACTTCGTAATATAGTATTAGAACGATGTTCATTCTTTGTTTTGTTTAAAAAATTAAAATAAATGCTTTGCATATAAATTATTATAATATTTTATACTATCTTTGAATTGCGCCCCCCCCCCTGTTAATTATTATTATGTATATCTCCTGTGGTGAAAAATGCTCTAATTTGCATAAATTATGCACGGTTCCAGGTTCCGGTTCCAGGTTCCGGTTCCTGTATCGCTGTATCGTTGTATCGCTGTATCGCTTTTTAGTAGTAGCCGTTGAATAACATGTAGACAACCGCCACTTTTCGCACCTAATGTAAATTGATACATATCTGTAACCGCGCGGCCAAAACAATATAACACCGCCTGCATGGTATATTTACGCAAATTACAATTATTGGCTTATAAGCGTATTTTTACATAAGGAAACTCATGCCGGACTCTACTGTCGGAATCAGCTTTATATGAATACTGAGTTTGAATTGTTCGACACAATTGAACAGTCACCCAATATCACCAAATTATGAACATCTGCTTTATATTGAACTTTAGCCTAATCATGATAATTATTGCTTCATTATGACGGTAACAAATATTACTTAGTGTTCAATAGAACCGCTTGTATACTGTAGTTTAATTTTCGAAATTATTCTATAAAGAGCGTGACCAATGGTTTACATGACACTAGTTTTCCCAATACACGTGGTGTATATCTAGCTGATCTGCATAAAAATCGAAATGCAACGGCAGGAAGGAGGCTTTAATTTGCCAATGACAATGTAGTCTGTTACTTGTTTATATATACATTACTGGTTCAGAGGTTCTCTTGAAAAATCGACTGCGATCAATACTTTTCTTTATATATTTCGTTTAACTATTAATTTCGATGAACCAAATTGTACCTGTCCAAATAGGACGCAACGATACAATTCTATTGACGGGCAACTAGCACGACTGCAAATTGTCAAAACATTTCGTGAAATTCTTCACTCATTTAGTGTATATTTTTGTATGTCTTGCTGTTACTTAAAATTAATAAGGTACTTAAACGTGGCAACATTAATTGGCGATCGAAGAACCCAAAACGTATTAAAAGACACACCGGCCAATTATCGCAGGTTTGAATCCTTTGTTATTGAATTGAAGAATGAAAGCAATTGCAAAACACACACGTCACTAACATTTACTGGATATAAACAATTAGCAAAAGGTCGCCATATCAGCTATTAATTTTACAATAGTATAAAAGTTCTAAAAACATACTGTATAGTTAACTTATAGTTAAATTAAGCAATCTTTGTCAGCGCAAAGTAGAAGCTATATTTTCAAACGTATACTTAATTAATATAATATGTAGTTTATATAATGTACCAAAGATGACTAGTTTCCACATGAGTAGTCCGATGTATATCCGCAAAACTGGATTTTAATCCCAGCCCGCAGCAAGCTTACGCCATCTGGAAATGCACCAACAAACGCATCCTTGTTGCCTGAATCTTCAGTGTCCCACTCAAGGAAACCACTGTGGGGTCCACGATAGCCAGACAATGTAGGACAGCTACCCATGTATCGCATCAATATCAATTCCCTGCATTTCGGGAGTCCAGAAATGATTGCCCTACATGATAGGAAGGAGGAAGCATCGTTGCGACAGCAAAAGTAGATTTTCGTATTCCTGTTGTACACGCCATCTGGAAGACTTCCGCGATTTCCATTTGCGTTGTTGGTGTCTTCGTCATCCCAATATATGTGTCCTTGGTCAAATCCTGCTGGGCATCTACCTCCACGCTGAAAAATGCAATAATGTCCCCTTGGCCAAGACGTTTTGTGGGGGTAATTGCTGCTAGTTTTGCAGCAAAATCCCCATTCAAGGTCTTTGCAGTACCTGAAAATACGCGGAAAGTAACCATATCTTTTGTTGTAACAACTTGAACCGCTGTTGTCGTTTGTGTCATGGCGCCTGTAGCCTGATTCCCATCCCGATGGACACGGATGGTTGCGCGGCATCGGCAGACAATACTGACCGTCTGGCCAAGATCCTTCACTGAGGGAAAGAAACGACACGACAAGTAATGCAGAGAAAGAAATCATAGTTTGGCTAAATGTTGTCTGTTTACTCTGCTTAGCTTGTGTTCCCTTGCGCTAAGGTCTAAGTATTGATATGTGTTTGACATCGATGGGCATGTTACTAAACTCGGACTGAAACACGGGGTCGGAACCAGACTGGCAGAAATTACTGAATTAATGTTTTGTAAAATAATCTTATAAATCATGTCACATGAGTATCTATTATTGAAGTTTATACTAAACATTTCAGTATTAGTAAACATCAGTTGCATTCTACGTATATACTGCAGTTAAATTAGTTTCTAGACTATTTATGAATTATCATGAAGCGCCGCTCAATAAATTGAACGGCAATTATCGCTTGGAATCATGCAGTTCTGAAATTTTAGGAGTGTTGAACGCGGAAAGTAACTATAGTTGAATATAAACATAGGTAAGCATTTTGTAGTCCAATACATTTGTGGTCATTCGAATGCTTTACGGGAGGGAAAAAAACCTGCAAAAAAGAAGAGCCATGCACTTGTGCAATTATACCGGAGTCGAAAATATTGCAAGTTTCCAGAATCCTTGGCATGTAAAAGTGATGTGTAGGTACATATTTTAATTTATCAAAGACAAATCACCAGTTTCGTAGTGCATTAAGATCAAAACGTTGTACTTGTCAATAGCCAGGTAACAATATATTATTCACTGATCAACGTCAGAAATAGTAGGCCTATAAATGCGTAAGAAATCATTGGACAAAACGTACAAAGTTCGGTTGAATTGTCTTTTTGATAAACTTTCTTTCATAAAATATAAACTGGCTATGAAACACACTTGCCGCTTGTAAATTTTGGTTTCATGCAGGAGTTTGGTTATTTGATAAGAAATTGAGTTATTTTCGAGTCAGAGTTCGGGTCCGCGTTTCGTAGCATGCCAACACTAATATGCATGTGTTTAATCTCAACGCAAAGCATTCTCGGTATGTGTTCGTTTCAGCAATGATCTATTATACAAACCGTGCGTCTCTGTATGGTAATGAAAAGAATTTATTCTGCCAAAACGGGAAAAATTGAGTTGAATGCATATCACATTATGGGTATAAATTCTCAACATTTATAAGTTGTAGGTATATGTAGCGCGGCTTATGCGGGTTATCGACACTTTAAAAAATGATAGCAGCATAATAACATCTGCTGTTGAAAACAAACATAATCATACTTTTCGTTGTTTGAATTCACTTTTTTGTGTCTGAAACTTGAATAATTGAAAGCAAGTTTTATTTCCGTATTATGGTTTGCTTAAAACGTGATTCGTATGGTTTGTTGAATATGAAACTTGAATTGTTATTTACATATGTCATATGCATGTTCACTAATAAGAAAATCAACGTTGCTTTTGTCATATTAATGTAGAAAGTGATTATCGACGATCTTATTCTATATTATACAAATCCATGTAACTTGGATGAAACTAATTATTCGAGGTCTACGGTTTGGTTTCATATATGTTTGTTTCACGCTATATTGCTTGTACTGTTGTATATTTAAGAGGAAACCATGTAATGTTTTTGAATGTAATGTTTACTTGCGGCATTGCACTATACCTATTCTACGTTCCTGTATAAACTATATAATCGCCCAGCGAGCAATGTTGGAATGTACCCAAGAACTTGACAGTCCCGTCTGGAGTTATTAATATCCGCTTCTGCAACAACGAAGATAATCAGGTTGAATTACAGTCAGACAATTAATCGTCACCTTTTTCATGCATGGGACCACGCCGCAATGAACATTTATATATAATAAGGAACTCACTGACAACTATACTGAGATGTGTACTGAAAATGAAGATCTAGCTATAAAAAGCTTTCGACCATGCACAATCTCTTAAATATTAAGCAGTTTAATTTGAAATGAAGCTTTATCCATTCAACAACGTGTAATTTGTGCAATTCAATAAAATATATATTTAGATACATTTATGTGAAACTCATTAATAGTTCATGAAGAAAACACAAAAGAAATCATCAGCGTGAAGGAGTAGCTATATCTGATACAAAAATCATGCTGATTTACAATATTAAATTGTAAATTTAATTTTCTCACCAAATATCATGCTTTATTTATTACATATCTATATATATATATATATATATATATATATATATATATATATATATATATATATATATATATATATATATATATATATATATATATATATCTCTATATATATATATATATATATATATATATATATATATATATATATATATATATATATATATATATATATATATATATATATATATATATATATATATATATATATATATATATATATATATACATATATATATATATATATATATATATATATCTGTGTGACAGGGGTCAAACAAATATGAAACTCAGTCCAGTAGTATTCATGCAGAGTACAAATATCTGTGTATATCGAAGAATTATTTGCACAATCATTCAAGCATGGCAACATTGGCAATGCAAGAACCCATACACAATTTATATAAAAAAATAAACGAATAACACAAGTTTAACTCTGTAATTATTAAGAAAAACTAACACAAACGTATATTTTCAGACTATAAACTATTAGCAGATAGTCCAGGTATAAAACATTAACTTTACCATGCTATATAAAGTTCTAAATGTACTACAGTAAATCTAATTAAATTTTTCAAAGAAATCGTCTGCTCCAAAACATGTTTTTAAAACTCTACATAATTAGAGTAATGGTTTCAAAGCTATATATTTAAATGTGCCGAAAGGTTTACCGGATCTAAACAGTTTAAATTAACACGAGTAGTCCGATCTATATGTGCAAAACTCGATTTTAATCCCATCCCAGCTCACACCATCCGGAAATACACCAACAAACTCATCCTTGTTCCCTGAATCTTCGGTGTCCCAATCAAGGTAACCAGTGTAGGGTCCACGATAGCCAGAAATTGTTGGACAACTACTCTTGTGTCTCATCAAGATCAATTCTCTGCATCTTGGGAGACCAGAAAGATTGATTCCCGCAGCGCGGCATTTTACAATGCTCCAAAAACTGATCGAGAAAACATCATTGCGACAGCAAAATTCAATTTTGGTTTCGCTGTTATACACGCCATCTGGAAGACTTCCCCGTTTTCTATTTGCATTGTTGGTGTCTTCGTCATCCCAAACCATGAATCCTTCATCGAATCCTTTAGGGCATCTACCTCCGCGCCGAAAAATACAATACTGTCCCATTGGCCAAAACGTTTTAGGGGTGTAATTGCTCCCTGTTTTGCAGCAAAAGCCCCACTCAATGTTTTTGCAGTACTTTATAGTACGCGGAAAGTGACCATATCTTTTGTTGTAACAAGTTGAACCGCTGTTGTCGTTTGTGTCGTGGAGCCTGTAGCCTGATTCCCATCCCGATGGACACGGATGGTTACGCGGCATTGGTAGACAATACTGACCGTCTGGCCAAGATCCTTCACTGAGAGCAACAAAAGACGCGGCCAATAATATTCGGAGAGAAATCATGCTTAGGTTAGATTTTGTCAGACTGAGTTTACTCGGTTTGACTTTAATTCCCTTGGAGTGAAAATTGATATGTTATGACATTAACAGGCATGCTAATGAACTGGCACTCTGACACGAACTATAGGATACAGACAAAGATCTGGACTCGATTGGAAAAATAACTGGAGCAAGTAAAACTTGGATTATGCATTAACCCAGCATTCTAGTTCAACCAAGTGAAGTGCAAAGACCATCCATCAGGTTCACGTTACCACTACCCCTAGCCTGCGGAGCAGACGGTATTCGCAGCCACGAGAGAACGGGAAGATAGAAATACCGCCTGCCCAAAAACTACACATTCTGGGTTCCGCCCAACGAACGCATGGTTCCGCCCATCTTAATGTATTTATTTGTCAAACTCGCGTATTGCACCAGTGCAAATATACGGCTTTGACTTTTCATATCTTCGGTTCATTCAATGCTAGGAAGTCAAAATTCCACGTTCGATTCAGTGTAACAATATATCCTCATTCATAGCGATAGTTTTAGTCAATGTCAACATTATAGCGATTTATGAGCTTTGGAAGTCAAGGTTGGATATTTTCCCGTACTGTCCTCACTCTCGGTCAGTAAGTTATTAATATCCAAGCTTGGTCTTGCTGTATTGAACTCGCTATCGCTCGGCTAACACCAAAATTTCAAAACTTTATGGTAAGCATATGAAGCAAAAGTTCTGTCACTTGTTGTTTACACTGCCAATGTTAGGGGTGTACTAGAACGCTGTTGTGGCTGGAACCCTGATTTTTCATAGTTCTGGCCGGAACTAATAAAAAAACCATGGCCAGAACCAGAAATGTGTCCTTTTCAGAGAGATAGAATATCAAGTTTATTTATTGAATAGCATAGGAAGAAATTTGGACTACACAAGGTAAAGGTACATTATTAACGTGTTCTCTCCTTGATGACTGAAAGTGTCTGTCTGGCAGCAGACAAAGTAACATATGACCATATATCACTTAATGAATCAGTTCTGGTTCCAGCCCGAACTTTTTCCAGTTGCGGCCAGTTCCGATTTCATCCCGAAATTTAAAAATTGATTCCGGTGCTCCCCTAGCCAATGCCAACTGTTGTGTAACATATACAAACTATTCGAGGAACATGCATTACTGTAGCAAATAGTCAATCGTATATTGAAGACCATTGAATAGTAAAGAATGTTTTAACACAACATATGATACACGCACGAAAACAATTTGTGTCATGGGAGAATATCGGTTTGAGTAAAAGTATCACAAGTTTAGCCGTAGATTGTGTGCCATTAAATTGATCTGATCCATCCATATAATATTATTGTAGCTGTTATAAATTATTTTTCATACTAATGTAAGCGGGTTGTTCTGACAAAATTATCTAGCCAATATGCAGCTTTTTATTCATCATTCTGGTATTATCTCTAAACAAAAACATTTAGGGGCCTATGTTAGAAAGCAAAATGACAATGTAAAGAGGAGAGAGGGTGGGGATTCTTTTACTGTATTAGCATTTGAAAATGTTTGTAAAAATTTTGTTTAATTTTTAAACTCTATATATTACTGGTAAATGTGTAAAACCAAAATGTATAAGTATTTTAACTGATAACATGTTATTAGAACATACACAAATGATACATTAGAGAACAGCTTAGTTGGACTGTTGTTTTGAAAAGAATTACAAAAATACAGGACCAGGATTTAATTCAATTGTATCTGAGAACATTAGTTTCCTGTGATATTGTTCATTGGCAATATCGCCTTGCTGCCGAGGACGAATTTCTTGAGAAATTATACGCTATGTTTTGACACGCCGAATGTTTTTAGTAGTACTGTATAGCGGTAGATAAAAAAATATGTGGTATTTGACTACTTATCAGATGGGGATATTAAGTTCCCATGTTGATAGATTTCGAAGCCAAAACGTGAAAATGACAAAGAATATTCACGAATCACGAGGCCAAACGATGCCCGTTCGCAGGATAGATGCGGGCACGATGTAAACAATCGATGTAAACTAATCGTTGATTGGCTTAAATTATCATGAAATGGCTCAATTATATATGCTCGTTGCTTAATTAATGGCTATGTGTTAACACACGGTACGGTACGTTTGCGACAGCAATATATTTGCTTCGCAGATACAAAAAGTTTAAAAATCAACCATATCGATACTAAAGACAGTAAAATACAGTGAATTGGATTCAGTGGACTAAGTGCCAAGCCCGAAATGTACTTCTCTGCGACCAAACTGCAAAAAAAACCCAACAAATATAATCATCGAAAAATACTGGTCAGTGCTACATGTTATGACTCAAAAATTCTACATATGTTCAGCTATTCTTCGAAAAAATACGTATAAATATAAATAGTACAACGTACAACTTGTCCTTAAACATAAAATAAAAATAAAACAACCTTCAATGGCAGTTTAAAGCCGATTTCTGGGCTTATTCGGGCAAAATTGTGTCTATAAATGTTGAAAAAAGAAATTGCTTTTCGGCAACTAAAATTTGTATTTGTCTGTCAAAAAGTGCATTTCAAGCATGTCCATTTTGCAAAACGAATCGGAAAATAAATATATTTTTACTTTATTTACCTTCTGTTTTCATATTAAGTAGAAAGCATTTATTGCAATGAAACTAAAAGCTTTTTATCCAGCTTTCATCGCCCCGTTTTAGCAGTTTGTTAGCCATGCTTGCACTAAAGTAACAAACGCGCAACTGATATATCTCAATGTACTTGGCAACTGGAATTTTATCGAAATTTCATTATAACCATGAATTATCAAAATAATAAGAAAGTTGGCCTCGGGCCGCTTCTGAGACCTCGGGAAAATATAGAGCACTGTTTGTGTTTCGTAAACCAAAATCTTAAGCCATATATACATATATTATATATATATATATATATATATATATATATATATATATATATATATATATATATATATATATATATAATATATATATAATTTTTCAAAAAGATTTCTTCAGACATAAAAATACACAAAGTATATTTTCCAAACGTTTCGCCTTTTACTGCTTCTTCAGTGGAATGTTTTTTACAATAATATTTCCTCCTATTTATATGAAACTAATTAAAATACAAAATTTACAATGAGTACGCTAATGTATATAAAAATGTGCAAAACATGCAATTGATTTATTGTCCTGTAGTTTAAAAAATACTATGTAATGTGTGTGAACTATTTTAATCTATTAACATTGTATAGTATTTTCTACGGGACAATAAATCAGTTGCATGTTTGAATTATTTTAATCTATTAACATTACATAGTATTTTAAACTAGAGGACAATAAATCAATTGCATGTTTTGCATATTTTTATATACATTAGCATACTCATTGTAAATTTTGTATTTTAATTAGTTTCATACAAATAGGAGGAAATATTATTGTAAAAAACATTCCACTGAAGAAGCCGTAAAAGGCGAAACGTTTGGAAAATATACTTTGTGTATTTTTATGTCTGAAGAAATCTTATAGCAAAGTTCATACACTATCCAGACATGGTACCTCACACCCATTCATATATATATATATATATATATATATATATATATATATATATATATATATATATATATATATATATATATATATATATCTTCAAA